TTAACACCGGTCGCGGTAAACGTAACGTATCTCCTCTCTCTCTCTCTCTCTCTCCTCCTTCCCTCTTTCTGTCAACCGCAAAAGCTGCGGGTATAATTGCCTGGCCTTTCATTCACTTGGGCTAATTTTCTGCGTTTCATGCGACGCCGTAGAATCGTCGTGACGTAGGTAACCACGCTCGGACCTCCTCCGATCAATTCCCCGTTCGACCAATCAATCCGTCTCATCTCGCCTCACGAGATTTTTCCACAGTGCGAGAATTCGCGGGAAAATCGCTTTAAGTCGCGTGAATATCTTGCCGCGATTTTTTTCATTAATTATGAAAGTTAACGAGGAAGGAGACGAGATTAAGGGACAGGCCGATAAGTTAGCTCGCTGTCGCCCGACACCCAGCTGAGTGTCGGCCTCCATAATCGTGATAACTGTCAGTCAAGTCTCTCGGATATTTCCCGAGGAAAATCATTAATCCTTACGAAACATCTGATACATATATTAAGCATTAAGGCAAGCGATAAATTTATTAATTAAGAATAAAAGATAATATACATTTATGCAAATCAATCCTCACGAGATACCGCGTTATTTACCACGACACGAAATATTTTATCTTTGTACAATTTCAATTTAATTATTTTTTAATTATTTTTGTATTTTAATTAAAATCGCTCTCCATTTCTCCCTGATTATTCACAGTTATTGAGCTTTACTGTTGCGTATTTGATTACTCGAGCGATTAAATGTGACAATTTAGCAGAAGAGTGGAAATCCAGCGAAGTGCGAGTCAGCTGAACGGAGAAACGGAATTAATTAATACTCGTTCTCGACGTAGGCGCGCCGGGAGGGCTGTTCAAAAGACTTTCCTTACGCTAACGCGCGTGCCTCTGACGTAAACGGAGGCTCCATCTTCCGTCGCCGTTCATTCTGCGGATGCACTGAAATCGAAACTACGTAACTACAGACGGGCGGCGCGAGAGCACAAGAGAACGTGGGCGGGCAACCGGGTATGACAATCGATTTGCCTCCAAAAATATTTGCTATCTCCTGCCTGCTCCATCGTCCCCTCCGCCGTCGCGGTTAGAAATCATAAGATGGAATCAACATCGAGCCGCGAATGCGAAATCGAACAGATTGCATTCGTCGGAAAACGTGATAACTGCGACCCGAGGCGACCCATTTCATATCGAGTTGTCCGTAAGTCGAGTGACCAAAAGAATTCTCTCTCCAAATAAAAATTCTCTCTCCAATAAAAATTCTCTCCATCAACTCCTTCGTTCTCGAATTTTTCTCTACGTAAATTTCAATTTCGGATTTTAACGCGACGTTCGCTCTTATCATACGTTTTCATCTGCTTCGTAAGTTTGATAATTTCTCTGGAAAGAAAATTACTTCCGCGCGAAATTTATTAAAGATAATCTTCGTAATCTTTGTGGATGTTAAAGCAAATTTTAACGATCCCTTGACGCCTGGCGATTCCTTTGAAACTTTGCGATTTAATTAACTATCAGAAAATAGAAGATCAGAATAAGACACTTAATCGCCGAAATACGTTCTATCGATCGCGAATACTCTCTCGTTAAATTGTTAATAAAACTAAAAATGTAATTCCGAGGGAAAACGAAGTTGCCGAAGAAATGGACTTGTCCCGCCGTCGACGTCGTCATCATCGTTGTTGTCGTCGTCGTCGTCGTAGTCGTCGTCGACGTAGTTGTAACATCGATTTCCGTATCTACTTGACCTCCGTAGAACGCGCGTCGTCTCAATCATCATCTGTCCACCGACAGACACGCTCAATTACTTTCCACCATTCGTCACGGAAATCGTCATAATACCGTCGTAATGCAACAATGCTCGCAGGTGGTGACTCGCGCATAACTGCGCTTTTCCTTTTTTTTTTTTCTTCTTACGAGAATCGACCGTTGTTAACGTTGACATGACATACGGCACCCGATATCGTTATCACACACGGAAAACCTTGTCCCACTTTTCCTTTAATCGCGCCGTGTAATACGTGCACGGGGCGCGTACGTGTGCGAGCGTGCGTGACGCAATCTTCCGGATGAGATTTTATCCTCTCCCTTTTATCGCGCGCCTCGCGAAATAATTACATGCAGTGCTCCCCGTAAAATTGTCGCAGTCATGTTGTCTCGATTCTGTCCGTTTAACGCCTCGTTCTCCGTAACTCCGGGCAGTGATATACGCCGCAACGAAGGCACGCGAGAGCTCGAAATGAGCTAAGAGAAGCCGCGAGAGTTCGATTTGTGATTTGGTCCCGGGTTTCTCCTATCGAAAATGACATCGAAAATGATTCAGGCATACGTAAGCGAAATTTCAAGGGTCAAGTACAAAACTTTATTTCGTTCAATCTCGCGAAAACAAATTTGACTCGGAAACATTTCGAACGCTGAGATCAGTAGATTCGATAATTGCACGATCTTAGAAAATAATTTATTCCGGTCGAGTTTTTAATTACCAAGATAATGATCTAAGTTAAGGAATCGTAAAAAAAAAAAAAAAACTTTTACCGAAACTCTCACTAAGGAGGATAAAGTTATAAGATTATCTAAGATTTTGTTTTTAAGCATGTTTTGTGTTTCCCTCTCGTAATAAAACTTCGCATAAACAAGATTTCCGTGGGTTTAAATCGACGGAAGAGCAGGTCGTATTTTTTTATTTCTGAAGTAACTTGTACGGTGAATCGAGCGTGAAATCGATAGGGACCTGCTACCGGATCTAAAAGTTTCTCGGCTCGCCCTCGGTTTTACATTCGTGAAGGCGGGTATTTATAGCTTTCGATCTACCGATTTATTTCCAACCGCGAGTATAGCCGCGTTACTTTTGACGAGTCGGTAATCGATGGGCTGGAAGAAATTCCTTCTTTTACATTTTATCGCTGTTATGGCTAACGTTACTTCCCGCAACGAGAGAGAATAAACTACGAAAGGTGATACCGCCGTTAATTACTGTCACGCTGAATAGATTAGATGTCATTCGGTTAAAATGAATTTTCCTTTTTCTTGTAGAAGCATACTTTATTTTCATAATAATACATCACTTAACGCAAACACCTTTCAAGGACTTTAAGAAGTATTCCGTATGTATATACACAAAAATTATTATTTTTTTTATGCAATATACATATCCATTTTTTTATATTTATTTTTTTTGTGTAAAATGTCAATACATTTCTGGTACTCTGCGTAAAAAGAAAAAAATTGTTGCTCAAAGCCTGATAATACTTAAAAATTCACCTAATTTAGAAAATCGGATTTCAAATAACAAGAATATTATTAAATGATTTTTCAAAAAACTCGTAAAAAAATGGGAATTAATATTCTTTCTCGAATTAACAATAATTTTAATAATTCTAATCAAATTTAAAATTTTTAATTAAATTAAGAACAATATCTCAAAGAAAAATATATTCAACATTCCATTACAGTACAAAGAAAAATGATGCAAATTTTCGTATAACATTCCCGGAAATATTCATAAATATTCATAATATCGTCGACTTGTTGCACTGAGACAACAACATGAGAGCCAAATGGGGAGAACAAACTAAGGCAACGCGAACATAATCGTACGCACCTGTGAGCCGCAGACACTATCGCTCGCAGCGAGGTTCGATTATCGTCGCCGACACGTTGCACGTGCGGAAACAATACGGGAACAACGTGGAACGAGAAACGGAAGGAAAAACCGCGAACGTCGCCACGTCGTTGTTCGCTCGGGCCAATCTCGCCGTCCGAGCCGACCTGAATAATTTGGCAGTAACGCCATGCCGTTTACCGTGGACGCGAACGGAGTGCATCTCACAGTAATTTCTTTATCATACAGTCCCTCGGAATCTCCTTGGTTAATTAATTAAGCTACGTTAAGTGGACGGGGAGAGAGAGAGAGAGAGAGAGAGAGAGAGAGAGAGAAGAGAGAGAGAGAGACGACACGTTGCTATTTTTCTGCGTCGCGCCGCTGCTCGAGGAGGGAGAGAAATAGTGAATGTCGGAAAAAAGTGATCGACAGTAATAGCACCGACGTAAACATCTACTGACCCGAAGGAGGATTAAAGCGAAGCGGAGTGTCGAACGAGCGTCGTCGATTTAATAATACTACCGAAATAAAGTTAGACACTTAATAATAAAACGATTACTAGAGCAGCGACGGAGGCGGGTTGACGAGTTGTAAGCTAATGAGACGAAAGGCAATTAATAAAACGGTAAATAAGTTATACGCAGACAAGAGAAGAGGGATTGGCTTGAGGCGATTGAGATAAAATAAATTGATGAATTGCAGTTAATAAAAACTAGGGCGGAGACTCGGAGACCGATCGACCGGGAAATGTGATCGAAAGGGCTGCAGTAAAGGGAAGAGAGTGCGAAGGGACAAAGAGATCGATTGGGTGTCGCATTAATGTGACGTTTGAGATGCCGAGGAGGTGTGAGAACGCGTCCTACACGCCGGTTAAGGATTCCGTTTTCGAACTACGCACGCGGATGGCCCGGATGCTGTCCATCGTCGAGATTACCGAGCAGAGGAATAATCCGGTACCGGAATATCGACTCGATACGAGTATCCGTTACAGGCGTCACCTTGTCGAAAAAGGGAGGTCCAGCTAACCGAGGGAAAACGCGCGAGAAAATTCAATAAATTCCAATTAAGACTTACATGCGCGATAATAATGACAATATATAAATTCCATAATCGAGTGATTTAATTAATATTTCCGCTTGTAATTTCAGTTGAGAGTATAATAAATTACACGAGAGTGCAAACTTGACCGAGAAATTGACGAAGAGACGAGACACTAATAAATTTTATTTCTTTTAAATTCGTCTAAAAAAATTTGTTATAATTTTTTTTAGATTTTCAAGATTTAAAAGATTCAAATATTTTAATATTAAAAAATATTTAAATATTTTAATATTTAATATTTAAATTTTAAATTTAAAAAAAATTTGAAATGCAAATGCCACTTTTTAAAATCCTTTAAACATTTTATAAAGTATATTTATATTTTATAAATTGGCGATACCAATAAAAAATATTACAACTGCACTTTTGGATGTTTTTAGTTACATTTTTCGATGTCGCTTTGTCAGTAACACGACCCAAAAAGATACTGTAACGCGAAACTGTGCAGTTTTGTATTTATTTCGTTTCTATTGTAACTGTCAAAAAAGAAACTTTCAGGAAGAAAAACTGTTCGGTAAACAACAATTCCTCTGAAAAGTTCCAGTTTTGAAGCTACAATACTTTTTTATTGGTGCCGTTGAATTGATTCCAAAACTGAGTCTACGAGTAAATACAAAGTGTAGCTGGGTTTGTTTCCCCTGTGGTTTTACGTGCTATAGCTTCAAACTTTTCGATATTTTTATCCAACATTCTCGTAAGCGTGACCAGGCGATCCGATAAACCGTGACGAATTTTGTATCACTAGTAAGCTCATCTATTGCATCGAATATCTTCCTCTTTTGTCCATATCCCAGCAACATTTTTACATAGTTTTTTATGCAAGTGTAAAGCCCATTACAATCTCGTGTATCGCCAATTCAAAAGTGAATATTACAAAGCATAAAAAAAAATGACGCATTATATTTTTTATTTTTCTCATATTTTTTATAATTATCAGTCATAATAAATTCTGTAAATATCATCAAAAAAGTAATTCCTCTTGCTTTCATATTTAATTTTGCTTTCGTAATTAATATCGCTCTTAAAATTATTAAATTTATAGAATTAAAATATGAACCTTCCATCCATGAATTTTTTAATTCCTGAATTTTTAAATTTATGAATTTGAAAATTTTAAAATTAAAAAATTGTGGATATGTAAGTAAAGCTAATGTAATGTAATACCTTCGCAGATGGCGCGTCAGGATGGCAGAGATGCCGCGGATCAAAACTTCGATTACATGTTCAAGTTGCTGATAATCGGCAACTCGTCCGTCGGAAAAACTTCCTTTCTCTTTCGCTACGCGGACGATTCCTTCACCTCGGCTTTCGTGTCTACCGTAGGGATCGACTTTAAAGTGAAGACCGTCTTCAGACACGACAAAAGGGTCAAGTTACAAATCTGGGTCAGTATACAATTGAAGTTACATACTTTTCTATATTTTTCTACTAGAATTTTTCTCCCATTGTGCATAGTAAAAATTCTCGATATTACCATGACATTTTCGAAATCTATGCACATATTGATTAATAACTTGTTTAATAACTCGTTTGGAATTATTTAATTCAATATTTTAATAATCCATTTTACATACAATCTACTTTAATAATCTATTTTGCATAATAAATATTTTTAAAAAATATCGCGTTTGCAAGTAATATATTCCGCGTGGGCGTGGATCATACCCATTTATTATATAAAATTATGCAGCTTGTTAATCACTGTTTATTTTTACAGGACACGGCGGGTCAAGAAAGATATAGGACGATTACGACGGCCTACTACAGAGGCGCGATGGGTTTCATCTTAATGTACGACATAACAAACGAAGAGTCCTTTAATTCAGTCCAGGATTGGATCACGCAGATAAAGAACTACTCGTGGGACAACGCCCAAGTAATTCTCGTGGGCAACAAATGCGATATGGAAGAGGAGAGGGTGATCAGTACCGAAAGGGGTAAACAGCTGGCGGAGCAATTAGGAGTACGATTCTTCGAAACATCGGCCAAAGAAAACATCAATGTCAAGGTACGTACCACAAATGTAATAAATCGCCAAATATTTAATAAATAAGAAAGACAAGTTTCATATATTTCTGAAATTATCAATAAGTAAAATTACGTATCTTCCAAATTTTTTTGTTGACTTATTTGTGTTAAGTGATATAAATATCTGTAATTATTATCGAATTAACAATTATCTAAGTAATATTTTTAATTAAAAAATAATTTAAATGTTCCTAAGTAAATATTTAAGGAAAATGACACACTTTTTTAGCAACATTAATTTTATTCGACGTCAAATTTTTATTCGTTGAGAAAAGTACCCTGATTTTTTTCTAATTATTTCGCGTCTGTTAGGATTAAAGAAGGTGGGGTCACGAAAACCTGTGAGAATTTTTAGACCTCGTTTCCGATCTCTCTGACACATTTTCAATCTCGCGTTTATTGTGTCTCGAGATAGACACGAATGCGCGGCATATCGATCGCGCCTGTTCGCGAAGTCACGTAGATGATCGATCCTCTTTTCTCTCGTTTTCGGCAGGCGGTGTTCGAGCAGCTGGTGGACATAATATGCGACAAGATGAGCGAATCCCTGGACAATGATCCTACCCTGATGGGGGCGGGCGGTATGGGCCAGAATAAGGGCCAACGACTCACCGATCAGCCGACCAATCCAGCGAACGCTAACTGTAATTGCTAAAAAAAATGCGACGACACGCAGAAGGGGGGAAAAAAAAACGAGAGGTCGTTTTTTTTTGTGCGTGTGTCCGCGCGCATGTGTGCACGTGTGTGTTGCGTGTGTTAGAAAAAAAAATGAAGAGAAAAGAGGGAGGAGAGAGGGGGAGGAGGAATAGGAAGTGTCGTGTGCGACGCTGGCGTGTTAACTAGTCCATTAACTTCGTCGTTCCCTCTCGTTACGTTATTTATTTCGAAATTCGCCTTTCATCCTCGCCAGTTTTTCTTTCATCCTTTCTCGGCGCGAGATGATATATATATATGAATATAATGTACGCTATAAATATATATATATATATATATATATATACATACATAACAATTGTGATTGATGATCGAAGTGCGACCGATCAACGAGTGTCGAACGAGCGGTCGTAGTCCTTCTTCAAATTCATCTGCTTGATGAGAATCAGGGATAGGTTCGACTTTCCGAAAGTTCAAATTTCTATGCTGCAGATTGCCAATTCTCGCATTTTCATTATTAGAAATAAACGTAGTATCAATTCTAATGACTATCGGAGACGTAAGTTTATAGACTGTTCCTACTAAAGACTAACTAAACTTAATTGAAATATAATAAATTCTCTATTTCCTTCCGAAAAACTGAAGGAAGGTTCCATTCGGGAAGACGAACGACTCAATTTACTCTTAATAGTTTGGATAAAAATAACTTTTGGAATAACAAGAAAAAAAATCTACAAAAATATTTAGTCTAATTATATTATTCCTAATTATTCCGTCAACAGGAAAATTATCAATTTTACATTATTTTAAAATAACTTACTTTCTTCTTGTTATACATAAAAATTTATATATATATATATATCTATTTACTTTTACATGTATCTGTGACATCGAGATTTGAACTGGGAATGATGCATGTTTTGATTTTTGTTACCGATAAGGAGAAGAGATTGCAAGCAGCGATAGGAAAAAGTTTTGACAAAGATGCATTTTGTTTTGCGATTGATAAGATAATTATTGATGACGATCATTATAGCAGGGACGATGTTGCTCACTCGATGTTTGGCACTGTAGACTCACGCAAAAGGGTGCGAACTCCATGTCTCAAGTCCACGCATTAAGTAAAATACGCCCAGGAAAATCTGACAATAAGCGCACCTCGACAAAATAATACGAATTCAAAATGTCAATCAATCAGAGACGTAACAAAGCCAAATTAACCCCTTGGCTCCTCTCGTCTCGCTTGATGCAGGCAGCGCAAATAATGTACCCGTAAAGTTCACGTTTTAATGTCGCTTCGAAGTTGCAGTTGTAAGCTGTTTAGAAAGAAGTATATTATTTAGGAGAATATTTATATATTTAAATATTATCAGATACATTTAATATTTAGCGATATCCTATAACAATTAGTGACGTTACTGCGGCAATAAAAATTCGGCGACGTTCGCGGAGACCTGAGGAGCTGAAGGGTTAAATTAATATAAAAACAATACGATAACGTGATTATAACGTTTGATTTTCAATTAATATCTCTTTCTCAGTTAATATTCTCTTCTCAGTTGATATTCGTTATAATTGAAGCGGCAAGTTAAATCGATCTGATAGAGATCGACTTATAATCGGATGCTATAAATTGAAAAATTGTTCGAATGTTGAAAATAAAAATATTTCAACAATATGATTGAAAAAAATGTTAAAGTAACTTGTCCACTTCTAAAAGCAAAAGATTATTTCCTGAAGTGAAACGTCGTTGCTCAACATTTTGGCATACTCGAAACATTTTGTTCCAATCAATAGTATTCGATTATTCATGCGCAATTGAGGATTCACTGACGTGTACTAAGTCTCGTAATTTAAATGTAAAGTGTCTCGATGACGACAATGACAATGGCGACACGCAATGCCAATAATACACAAATTCTTTTTGCTCACGGAAATTCGAATCCTTAAATTGGACGATAAAAAATTACCTTTTTTTTTTCAAAGTATATTTTTATTGCACTGTCAATTCTTACAATTATATCTGAATTTTATTTCTCGTTATTCATCGTGGTTTATTCACGTCTCGTCACGGTTCCGAACAAAAGCCGATACTCATAAAGGTCCATTGACAAACTGTCACAAAAGAAATTCAATTTCTTTAATATTTCCTACGTGTGATTAATTATCCATACAATTATCTATCTAATGTTTTCCACCAGTGATTAACTTTAACCTCGGTTTAACTTGCTTTTTTGTTTTTCTAATTCGAAAAATTTGAAAAAGGTGAAGATGTAAACCGAAATTAAAGTTAATCTGCATTCAAATGGATATAAGCGATTCGTAGGACGACAAGATTAAAAATGGAGGAAAATGTCTTCTCTCTGTGAATGTTGAATTTCTGAGTTTGTCGAGACACTCGACGTGATACAGCAACATTGCGTGACACTCAATAATTATCACTTAGCCATTTCACATCGAGATGGCACTCTCCGCGAAATTGTTTAAGATGGAATGGCAATTAGCGAATTATTATTGGGATCGACGAAGGCCGATCGTAACAAGGCCGGATTAACAAATTCGAGGATACTGTAAATCAGTTTCTGAGGAACCAACAGCATCGATCTGGCGTCAATTATCGAGGAGTGCCGGCGTCCCGCTTATTACTTCTGTCGTCATCCGGCGTTAAACCTACCTACCTACTAGGTAAGCTGCCCTCTGTACATAAGTGAGATAATAAAAACAAAAAGGTATCTATCATGTATCATTGAATCTGTAACGAGGTGTAAACGTACGCGTTGATTTAGCCGCGCGGATTTTTCGCGAGAGGCACGCGGCCCGCGACACCGAGTGCACCAACTGATTATTGCGCAATTAAAACAATCGCGACGGGATTATCGCGAGCCGTCGACAACGAATGCGTCCTCGAGTGCAATGCTCGAGGAATGAAGAAAGAAAGAGCGAGAGAGAAAGTGGAGGGTGACGCGCGTGTACGTGCGTTCGACAAGCGTGCGGCTAACCGCGAGCAAAGTAGTTTAATTTTGACGAGTCGATTTTTGCTATAGATGCGAAAAGGATCTTACGCTAATTATCGCGTTTCCACTTACAGATAAACAGAGATCGTCTATTTTTTTGTCTACAGTATTAAAATCTAAACTCGTTGGAATTAAACGGGATTTCCATCTCTTTGTCTTTTTTCTATTAAGTCTCTCTCTTTTTTCTACACTTTCTCCACTTCGAGCGAGACAAGTAGGAATGAAAGTAAGAATATGAGATAGATTAGCAATCCATGATCTTACCGTTTCTTTTTTAAAGAGAAAACCAATTTTTTTTTTTTAATACATTGAAATCCACATTGAAATACAAATAAATGATGCGAACAAGCGTATTAAATAAAATTATTAATCGTGAAAATTTAAATTGTAATAATTGAAAAGATATCTCACGTTCCTACTTTCTTATTTTCACGTGCATATTTTTGGCGAGAGAAGGAAAAAAAAAGTGCAACTGTAGAAAGCGCAGGTAAAGAGAATCGGTGTAATCCAAATACTAATCTATGGAAATTTTTCCATCGCTGTCGCGGGCGTCTGTATGTATGTATTGTACGGTGTGTAAACTGTACTATATATATACGCCTAAATATTAATAATACGTTAACGATAAAATAATAATCTACCAATACACACACACACACACACACACACACACACACACACACACACACACACAGTC